GGCTCCACAGCTCTTCGAACCTTGGCCTCTTTTTCAGTTTCTTTGTTCTTTTTAGACAGTAGGTAGTATATACTCCTTGGACGGTTGATCAGCCCGTCGCAAAGCCGCTACATAAACAAAGAGCAACATAAACACAGAATAAACGCACACATAAATCCATAACTTGAGTGGGATTTGAACCCACGATCCAAGGGTTTGTGCCTTAGAAAACGCGGCCACTGCGGTAGACCTTCTTCCTCCTACTGTGGTCAGAATCTTGACCTCAGCAGTGCAGTTTAAACGTAATGGGGTCTAAACGTAACGACGTTAAAAACAAAGGTGGTTAATATTGTTAAATTGCTGCATCCTGTTGCACTGCGTAGATCTGACTTTGTGTTCCGCTATTTTTCCGTCTGTGTACAGCGTCGGTTAATATTCTCCCGTTGTTTTCTCTTTATTGTCACTACATGTTTCGGCCTAACATCCATCGTCAGATGTACAGCTTTTGGTAATTAATGACATCTAAATAACACAGCTGGTTAATCCGCATTTTTTTTCCACTGGCGCTACAGCCCTCATTTGGGCCTAGGCCTACCTCCATGAAACTCTCCGTCTCACTTCGGTTTACTAGATCTTACACATTCGGTAGGACTCCTTGGGCGGGTGATCAGCTCGTCGCAAGGCCTCTACCTCTAGACAAACACAGAAAAACGCAAACAAACATCCATGCCCTGAGTGGGATTCGAACCCATGTTCCCGGCTTCCGAGCGAGCGAAGCCAGTGCATGCCTTATACCGCTCGGCTACCGTGACCGGCTGGTTAATCCGCATAACCAGAAGTAACCCGAGGCAACTACATAAGAAAAGCAGAACAGCATTACAGTCAGCAGCAGGTTCCTGTATCACAGAAAACTATACACCTGATGATGACCGGTTATGCCGAAACATCTAGTGTCAATAAAGAAAAACAACGGGAGAATATTAACCGACGTCGGACGTAGACGGCAAGAAAACAAAACGCAAAGTCAAACGTGATTGTTACACGAAGAATTCTGTCTTCTGGGATATAATGCCGTGTAGTCCGTTGAAAGTCAGTCTACATTTCGAATGAGCATTTCGCCTCCGTCCTCAGGGTATTTTGTTTAGTTTATTCTCCGACCCTGAAGATTGAGGCGACATTTTCCTCCGAATCGTTGGCGGACTTTCAACGGACTACATTGCGTTACATTCCAGAAGACAACCGCTGATAGCCACCTATGTGAGAGCCTTAAATGCTACAAGTTGGCGTTCCATTCACAGTAGTACAACGTGTAAGAATATTGTTGCAGGCGAGCAGATACAAAGCTACATCTGCTGCTACTGTCGCATTCTAAACCTTACGTAGCAATTCATGAGTATCTGAAAGTAAAGGAACAAGGGCCTCGTCATTTTAACAGGTGCTACGGAACTCTAAATGTTAACTTAATACTAAATTATGAAATTACTTAAATATCAAATCACTAGTTACTATGCTTGAAAATATCTCTATAAAATAAAGCAGTTATGATGCTGAGTGATATGTGGGCAATCATTGGTGACAGGTAATGGTTAAGCCTGCTCGTAGGTTTGCGTGCCAACAATAATGTTGTATTGCAGCATCCTGTTGCACTGTGTCTACTTTTCACACGATCAGCATTAGTCTCTCTGTCATCTGCTGTCGTCATTTCCATGCAAAATGCTTAAGCTTATTTATAAGGACTTCTTGAAATTTGTAGGAGTTGTGATCACGCGAAGTGGAGTTCCTAGTGAATAAATAAATATATAATTGGATAAATGACCAAACAACTAAATAATTGATCTATTGTTTTTATTGTTTTGTATTGTAGTGTTCAACTTAATGTACAACGACAGTGAAATTATGATTATCTAGAATTAATTTTAAAAGAACTTTCTTTCCGTGTTCTTGCCAGCTGGCGCTGTTGCCGAACGTGCCAAGCGAATATGACCTTCTGAGTCAGAGTACAAAATTTGGAAAAAAAAAAGAGATACGTTGTTTAGAATTTTTTTTATTTAACTCCAATAATTATACAATCTATCCATTAAATATGGATATTAAGTACAAGAATTATTTTAAGTGACAGAATTGTGCTAGCAGTTTAAAACATGTGCGGAAATATTGACATAATCGGTTTTTCGAAACGTTTCGTGAGTTTTATAAAATATTAATTTTGATGCTCTAAGGAATGGCGTTCTTATCGTTAAAATAAAATTTCTCCATGCTTGTAATGTCTTCCCTGAATAGTCACTATTAATCTGATAATATTTCCTATTTATATAGCACCTGAATATTCGTTGCCGTGTTTACAAATGCCCAAAATTTGAGCCAAGCTCAGGCAGGTTTATTCAATCCATACCCCTATATCATACTTGTCCCAAAGCTTACGTTTTCGTCTATTTTTTCTCCAAATACCTTCTGATTTGTTAATTTATTTTCTTGCCTGCTTTAATAGTATTACTCATCCAACTACGTCTAGTAACCTAAGTGATATCTTTACTTCAGATAATTGACTGAAATTATTTTTGAATTTTTTAGCTTCCCAATTCGTCCCAAATTTCCTGCTTAACTCTCCTTTCGTGATGCTGTTTGGTATAAGAGTACAAATTATGAAGATCTTCATTCATAATTTTCTCATTTCTCCTATAATTTTCTTCTTTCAAATATCCTCTTCAGCAATATCTTCTTCAAATGAAAACAAATTTGTTGCGAAGGAAACTCTCTGGCATTCTCAGGTTTAAGTCCCACTCTACAGCACAATTAACCGAATTTACTGAGACCTGGGATCATATACTGCGATTTCTCTTCCTCATCTGACCTAATGTGATTTAAATTGCATACTATGAATGAGATGTTCAGAAGGATGTCAGTTTTGAACCTTCTAAAGGAAACGCTGAAACCGTGCTCTGTCATTACTTCCGCTTTTCAGGTGAATATATTGGTTTAGTCATGTTTCGGAGTCAATTATGAAAATTAAGTTCTTTTCGTAGATAGTTAAAATTCGATTAAGCTACTGTGCACACATGAACTAAACCGTTAATCCAAATAGATGAGGACAGGCACACGCAAGTGAATCTTCCCTTAATTCTATTTTTTTTCCTTTGGCGCTACAGCCCTCATTTTGGGCCTAGGCCTACCTCCATGAAACTCTCCCTTTCACTTCGGTTTACTAGATCTTACCCGTATGGTAGGACTCCTTGGGCGGGTGATCAGCTCGTCGCAAGGCCTCTACCTGTAGACAAACACAGAAAAACGCACACAAATATCCATGCCCTGAGTGGGATTCGAACCCACGATCTCGGCTTCCGAGCGAGCGAAGACAGTGCATGCCTTAGATTGCTCGGCTACCGTGACCGGCCCTTAATTCTAATAGTTCTTTCTATTTCGAGAAATGAGCTGCTATTAAGAGCCCTGCAGTGACCTAAATTTTCATGTGGTATATATGAAACGGACTCACACGATGGACGTCGTGTCCTTTTGTCCTTAAGTCCGTGTGTTTCATATCCGAAACTACTACCGAATTTTATATTTTGATTATGTTCCTATCCTGAAAACAACAGCATGGACTGAAATACATTTCATATCGGTTCAGTATAATCTATGCCTTATGTCGAGCTTAAATAGAATTCTTCTTCATCATCATCATCATCATCACAATAAGATTCATTACGATCAACACCATCGGCAAAACAGCCCTTTTTGAGCCACTGCCTTGCTTAGCAGGTCCTGCCATACTCGTCTATTCTGTCGCGATTTTGACCATACAATTTCATTCTGTGCATTTCACAACAGTATTTTTTTTTACAGAACAAGGCATCAGTTTTGCATCCAACTCCAAACGTAGAGGACCAGGCCCATGTAGTTATGTCCCCCAGTGACAGTGTGGCCCATTTGTACCCCCAGGCACCGGTTTTCTTTTTCGCCGCCTTCAGCGATTCGCATGGTTACGGTGGAGGTATCCTAACTCGCCTCCACAGTGAACCAAATCGAATTCAAGACAAATAATAAATTAATCCTGTTCAGTTCATATTCAATATTCTAAATTATTTATTTTGTAAAAAAAATGTTAATTACGCATAGAATGTATAAATATCAGTAAAATTTGAAACTGTTTTAGAAATTATTTAGATTTTTTGTTTTTATTGCTAGTGGGGTGGGACTAAGTCCCTTGTACTGCGGCCAATTCTGGCCTATTGTACCAGCCCCAGATGATAGGTGAGGGTGATTGTGGAGCAATTGGTGGAATAAAGATTGGCAGGGGAAACCGAAGTACTCGGAGAAAACCTGCCCCAGCGCCACTTTGTCCACCACAAATCCCACTTGACCAGACACGGGATCGAACCCGGGCCGCCGCTATGGGAAGCCAGCGACTAACCGCTTGAACTATGGTGCGGTCCACAAATCTGCCTAACTGAAGTCGCTATATCTTCTGAGCTACTGACTGCCGTCACGGAAATAATGAATACATATATGGGATGGTGACCGTTGCTGGAATAAGTCTTCTCGAGATTCTCCACCAATTACATTTTGTGCACTTCTCATTTCTCAGATGTGTTATAAATGCCCTATTCATTTCAGTCTCCTTGACTTATCACTTGTATTATATGAGGTGGAAAATAAAAATAACGAACCTTCTCACTGCATAATTTTCTCCGCTCCCATGTTTGTTCCTCTCCTGGTCTAATATATTCCTCAACATTTTGTTCTGAGACACTCACAGCCTACATTCTTCCATGGGTTGAGAGACTATGTTAAACACAGACATATTGTCGCATGTCGTGAACCTGGAAGAGATACTTCCATGGTAACGCAATAAGAGTGGGCCGTTGCCTGGGAATAACTTAAACAACAAACGCGTTTCCCTGGAGATGAAAGGACAAGGGTTTCGTTGCATGACAATGGCCGATATCAAAGGCTCCTAGATGGTGCGTTCTATTCCGTTTGAGACAAAGTTATAAAAGTCCAGCTCCGAAGGGATCAGTAGAAAAATGAAGTATTTTGAAAGTACGTCTGTGTTCCATTTTAGTTGGGATCAAGTTGCCCAAGGCTTATGGAAGCGTTATCCAAACCCCCATAGCAAACATGTATTGTCTGAGGACACAGTAAGTCGGGAAATACGAGGAAGCAAGCTATTTACTAAGCGCCTGTTCACTAAGACTAACGGGATACCAAAGTGGGGAGAGCGCTTCGTTGACTCTCGCACTGTGCATATTGTAGAGGAGTCCATTATGGATCCAAATGAGAAAATCATAATTACATATACAAGGAATATTAGTTATGTTAGAGTAATGAGTATTGTTGAGAAAGTTATTTATAAAGTAAGCAAGGAAAACCCTAATTGGACCGTCGCTGAGCGATCCGCCTGGATTGATTCACAAGTTTATGGTTTTGGACGAGCCATCCAGGCGTTTGGGCTTAAACGATTTCGCAAGAATTGTCAACAGATGGTGGAAGGATTTAACCATGTCCTAATGACCATGTTCCCCCTCACAGCAACATCTCTGCCTCCTACAACTTCTGATGAAGCTACAAGTCAGTTAAATCCAGCAAATGAAGGGAAATACCATTAGGCTGTTCGGGACGAACACATTTTAGAAGGGAGCAATGTAACGTGGATGGACACAGCGTTGCTAGGTAACTGACCGCGAAACACCACAGAATTTAAAACAACGTTGAAATACAGAAGAATTGTGAAAGTAAAGACGTTGTGCAGGGTGCGTCAATGAATCGGGCGATTTGGCAGTGGTGTTTTCTCTGAATTGGTTTGAGTGGAGAGGATGCCACTACTACCACCCAGCGGCCTACTTCAAAGCGCTTTAATTGCATTGGCGCTACGGACAGGATCACAATGTACTTTTGCTGTGAAAGCATTTTACAAAAACGGTTAGAGTTTCGTGATCGCTCAGCTTGAATTTCGAGGAGAGTTTGGTATTCATCGCAATCGTGCTGTTCCATCTGCCCATGCCATCAAGACCTGGGTTCAAAACTTTGAGACTACTGGTTCTAAGAAGAAAGGTGATAACATAAAAACAACGTGTACACCGGAGAATGTAGCGGCAGTGAGAGAAGCCATTGAACGAAATCCACGCCGGTCTGCGCGTCGCCCGGCTACAACACTCGGCTGTCCGAAGCCAGCGTTCGACGGATTTTGCACAAAGATCTCCACTTCTACCCCTATAAAATTCATATCTCCAGATATGGGACCTCATATGGCCAGCCAGGTCACCCGATCTTTCCACAAGTGATTTCTTTTCTCTGGGGGCATCGGAAATCCCAAGTTTTCAAAGCTCCATCACCCCACACAGTTCAGGAGTTGAAACATCGAATTCGGGAAGAAGTTGAACGAATTTCCGTAAAGATGCTGCAAAGACTAATAAATGATTTTAGGAAGAGAGTTGCAGAGTGCCTACAGCGGAATGGTGGTCATCTGTCGGTTGTTATTTTTGGGAAATAGACTTTTGTTTCAGTGAGTTAATTGAGGGAAACCAAACACTTTTATGTTTACACTGTACTCATATGTGTTAAAACCAAATAATAAAGTTTACTGTTCATAACGTTTTTAATATTGTCTGACTTTTGACGCACCTTGTACTTACGTGTGTAAGTGTAAGAACGAGTGTGCAATAAACAAATTCGCTAGCACCGAATATCGGCGTGAAGTTATTTGTCGCGTCACACAGCTAAAACGTGACAATACTGGTATATAAAGCAGCGGGTAACGTATATGTTTATACTTGAACATTTATATTTTGGGGAGTCTGTATAGCGACTGGCTACGGGCTGGACAACTGAGGGGTCGATGTTCGAGTCCCTGTAAGGTCAAGATTTTTCTCTAGTCCACATCGTCCAGACCGGCTTTGGGGTTCACCCAGCCTCCTATCAAATGGGTGCTGAGGGCTCTTTCCCATGGATTAAAGCGGCCGAGACGTGAAGCTGACCATTCAACTCAAACTAGCGCCGAGATCAAGAAAATATGGATCTATATATCCACTCCTCATACGCCTTCATAGCATAGTACTTAACCAGTTAAGCACAGAGACTATATTACTATTTATATTTTAATTGACAGGAGATCGAAAGACAACATATTCAGAATTTTATTAAGGACTTGGTCTACGTAATCTGCTCTTAATTTCGTCATTATTGTAATTTTAACCTCCTCATGCCGTTATGTTTTCATTCTGTATTTTGATGAAGAAAAATACTCAGCTTCTCTGTTTATCTCCAGGGTAGAGGGACAGATCAATACTTTTCTGCCACAGGCAAAAGCAAACGAGCCCTTGTTGACTCTACGGAATTACTCGCAATGCGAAGCCGCACATCTGAACTGGGATGATTCAGTGGCTCGTCTATGGAAAAGGGACATGCCTCTCACGGATCTGTTACGTAGGAGTTGATGTCGCAACTTGTAATTCTTGGTTTATTCAACAACATTTGCTGCTGACGGAAAGTGTCAAACCGTGCGATGATAGTGAATTGTACAGGATAAGAAAGTTAGCGGCCATGCAAATTTTATGGTACTGCCCCACCATTTTCTTGGAGTTGCTGTGAAAACTACTAAGAATCTCAGTCAGAATAGGTGATTATGAACCGGCAATCAAACCCGGGTACCCCCGATTCAGAGCTGTTTACATCACGACACCGCGGCGTTGATTGAGGTGTGGGAGGAAATGGGCTAGGAGCCCACGTCGCAAATACGCGTTTGGTTTACTTCGCGCAAGGGACTTATAAAACTCCATACACTGTTATTTAGAGGCTACTCGAAAATTTACCTGCAGCCGATCGCAGCTGCTGCTCGGTCCGTGGCCAATCTGTCATATGTTCCAATCCCGCTTCGTGCATACATGTAAATATCTACAATTCTTTATTCCTGTGACGGATGCACCCTCTAACCATGTGGACTTACCAAATGTCCATTAGACTGAATGAAGGAACAGCTTCCAACTGAAGTGGTAAAAACAAGTAAGGTAAAATATATTTGTTTTGTGGTACTCACTTCGTGGCAACTGACATCACTGGTTCAATAGTCCCCTTCAGTAGCAGAAGGATTTATAAGACGGAATAAACATGGTTGGAATTCGATATGAAAGTTTTCATTAAATGTATTCCTATATCGCCGGTCACTGCAGCCGAGAGGTCTGAGGCATGAACTGTCTTCGCTCGTGGGTTCGAATCCCACACAAGCCAGGGATGTTTGATATGTGTATGTGTTTATTCTGTGTTTGTGTTTTCCTGTGTGTAGGTATAGGCTTTGTGACGAGCTGATCACCCGTCCAAGGAGTCCTATCGTCTGTAAAATGATCAAAATGAAAAATAACCTCGACACCGTAAGGTATAAGAGGAACGAATTAAGTAAATAAGTAGTTTTCTATGTCGCGGATCTTAATCCAGTAGAGAACCTAAAGTAATTAAGTTGTGAGGAAAAATTAATTACTTCTTTAGGACGTCCAATAAGTCTGTATGATTGTAGTTAGTCCAAGCTTTTTTTGTCGCCATCAAAATTACACGGGTAGCGTAGTTGGTTGAGGCACTATGCTACAAGCTGGAAGGTCGCGGGTCCTAGTCCTGGTGAGGTGGATTCTTTCAATTGACCTGATTCTTCCCGGCGTACTATGGTCCTGGGATCGACTCAGCCTCAAACAGAAATCTTCCTGCGGAGGTAAAGGGCGGACGACGTTTAAAGCTGACAACCATACCGCCATCTGTGAGCCGATTGTTTAGATAATGTGAGACCCTCAACGTCTCACAATCCTATGGGCCTCCATGGCCTGTTACAGGAATAGATTTGGTTCTTTTTAGTTTTACCGTCGAAATTACTCATTTGGAGTGCATGAAATGTAGCCGTTTGTACATCTCCCAGTCGACGTAATCCCCTAACTAACTGTCATGCTGTAGTGGTCTCAGTCCACAATGTGTACTGTTACGACATGAGTGATACGTCTCTTATGGATGGCCAAGTTGAGCCATGTTCAATTTTAATCTCGTGTACTGAAGGGAACTTTAATTAAATCGCAGGTCTAGATCATTGTTAATACCCCGTTCTTCACATAGTTCAAAGCGACTGCAATATGAAAGACCTGCTCGTTTCACGAGTCATTCCAATTACTATTACGGTAGTTAGGCAGGGTAACACCAGTACACATGTTCCCGTATTTCTGAAACAAAGCAGCGACTCCTTCATGCAACACAAGGGCATGTTACCTCTTGAACAATAGTTTCAGCAGTTTCAAATACTCATGCAGCCCTTGATTTGCAAGCTACAAGCGACAGTATTGCAGAAAAGGATATGCAAAATAACAAACCGTGCACAAGCACTAGTTCATTAAAGATCTACGGATTCTTGACCCAGAAAGAAGGGGGTCACTTGCGTCCGCTCTATCCTGTTACTGGTTGTTTGAAGCCGCTTGCTCATTTCCATATGTTATGGGAGGATAACAGCGAGTTATGGAATGGAAGTGAACTGCAAGGGAGCGCAGCATAGACGGTCTAAAGAAATGACAGAATCTGTTACAACCTCTGGCTTCAGGCAGAAAATCAACTCTGGATGTAGTCGCGAAGAGAGAAGGTACCAAACTCATGTGATATCAAAACCCGGTAGTTCGCCGACAATTATTTTACTTATTGAACTCTATAGTATTTGGTTAATATTTTGAACAGTTTATCTTCGAAATACAGAAGAAGAGTTCATTCATCACTAGGGTTTTTATTAAAATAATCTTAACTGAAGTAATAAAATTTCTTATTTATCATGAATGTAGTATAGACATGCAGTTTTGTCATTAAGAGAGACAGATTTTGAAAATATGTGATGTTACATGATATCCTTCAATCTTCATGTAGTAAACCATTACCAGCGAAACGCTGGGCACAGATGTTTGTATGTATTGTGTCGCATATACCCATTGCTAGGCAACGACTCAGTATACACGTTCCAGCGAAAACACAAAAATAGAAGTTTTGTTCTCTGAGAACCGTGTTACAACTCGTTGCTAGGTAAAACAACAATACTCTAGAAGAGAAGACAGTGTTTTCCATGGAGTCAGACTTGTAGCTATAAATAATGAGACTTGACATCAAAACCGCTAGGAACGGTTACATAGGAACGGTGTTTTCTACGTGGCCCGTGTCAAGTTGTTTTAAACAAGGGACAGAGGAAAGCTTAGTCAGAAGAGGCAATTGGAAAATCCCAGAATAACTAACCCGTGTGGAGGCGGGGTCGAATACCTCCACCGTGACCCTGCGAGTCGTAGGAGGCGACAAAAAGGGAAGTCTCAAATCTGAGACAGTAAAATATGGTCGCTTGTCCCAAGGGACTCGGACCCGAGAAAGACTGCGCTGGCAAGAACCAGCAGCATATACAGAAGACAGACCCGTCCTCTGGCTAGAGAGGGCGCCCCACAAAAAAGACCGTAACTGTAAAACAATAATAAATATCTGGTTATGAGCCCAAGATGGGGCTCGACACCAAGACTTACTGACTGACTGACCGTCAGTCGCAATGTGACTTTAACTTTAACTTTAACTTTAAAACCGCTGGCAAGGACCAGCAGCATATACTCGTACAAAAGAC